TATGATTACATATTTGGCGTCCCAGAGCCGGTTTTCTTACAATGCTTTTCCCATTGGTATTTTTCATTTCAACAATTTGTCACAATGCTAAATCTAACACAACAAAAATGAAAGAAAAAATATTCTAAACTGTCTAAAATGCATTCTAAAACCAAAAACCTATAAAGAAAATCCTCATTTTGCTCACCACATTATACAGTGGAATGTTATTGTGTTGACAAATGCTTGAACAAAGGATATGAATTTATTTTGTTTATGCAGAGGATATTAGATGATTTCCTGTTAAGGAAATTATCTGTCAGACAATATGTAGCTGAAAAATGAGATGAATATGTTGATGCTGCTGACCAGTGGCTGATTTCTAATGGTTTTCCATTGCACATGTGTGGAGAAACTCTAAACACATGATTACATAACAACATCCTTGGTTGGAGTAGTAGCCCAAGCATTGTATGAGAGCAGGAATGGGAATTTAAGGAAATTAAGTGAAAAGGTTATAGTTTAATAACTACTATTAAGTGCAGGGCAGTATTCTATTAGACATTAAAACTGTACATCTGAAAAGCAAAATAAGGAGTCACTTGGACAGAGAAACATGATGTTTGGTATCTGTGAATCAAACAGGTGAAAAACAACAATGATCAACTAGCTCATTCCAGCAAGTCACATTACTCTCTCCAAATGAGCTAACTTTGTTTCAATTTAGATTTAAATCAATCAATTTAATAAATACCAGGTGGCACATTGCGGTAAGAAAAATATGTCTGTCAGAATGCTTTTCTCAGTTTAACTGGGTTTAAATTGGGAAAAAATGAATTCAAGAGCTTGTCCATTTCATTAAAATCGAATGGCCTTGTAATAAAGCCCTTATTTTACTTTTCTGACTATTTTATTTCACTTCAGCTCTGATACATTTGGAGAGGAAGTCCAAACAAGCTTTCAGACTGTGGTATTTTACTGAATCTAAAAAATCTCATTCTTACGGTATATTAAAATCACATACTTGCACATTTGTCCAACACTGTAAATGTTAATCTCAATAAGCATTTTCCAATGTTTATACAAGACACTCAAATGGTAGTGTAACACAATGCCAGACACTCAATTCATTAAAAGTTGGATGTTTATATATGTTTTAACATTCTTCTTTTATGTATTTCCATACAATGGAGTGCCTGGCGTGGTTTAAATCATGGAATCATAACTAAGATATAGTTTGAATAGTTTATTAACTTAAAAAAGTCACTGGAAAAATGGTAAAATAATTTCTAACACGTTAAAACTCTCATATAAATTTAGGCATATCCTTTGTTTAAGTTCCAAAAACTACTTTATTATTCTCAGTATATTTTCTGCAGTCGTAACAGTATGGTAGAGTTACAATAAAAAAAGCATTTTCCATTTAATAGCAATAAAAATTTTCCATTGTAGATAACATTGAATAACATGGCTCACTCAAAATATGGTTTAAATAATATTTTAAAACATTTCAAAATAACCTTTTTCAATATCTATTTTGATAAAAAATCTTGACACATAAAGACCAAAGCAGATGAATGAAATACTCTTCATATTAAAACTATCATGCCTTTAACACATATTTAGATACAATTTGAAAATTGGCCTTGTTCCTTGTAGTGAGGGTTCAGCATCGCTGGTCCTTATCTGTCTCCTGTTGTCATAACTCTTTACTCTATCTCTCAAAATAACTTCCCGTGTGAACTCTATAGAGCGCTATATAGTCTACTAGTGAATAAACCCAACCACTGAAGCTCCATTTGTAAATGAGCCAAATGAACAACACAGAATCTGTTTATACTGTCAGTAGCAGCAAGGCCAAGCACTTTTCATAATGGTAAAGCAATGTATAATGTCAGTATAATTTAATCATCTGTGCCTGTTGGATTTAATAGTTTTCACTTATGTTTGATGTATGTTTCTTCAAAGTTTGATATTCTACATCATAACATGAAAACATAATATTACTGAGAAGGAGTTGTGTAATGCATGGTAATGAGTCTCTTGTAATTCTATTTTCAAAACAATAACACAGAAATATTGAAGTTGATATACAGTATATATACTTTATGTACACAAGTATGGGTCAGTTATGAGCATAATATACAGTATTTACAGTTGCATTTCAGAAATAAATAAGCACTTTTTTATAAACCCTTCAGTCTGTACCTAAAATCGACATCGTATGTAGGCTGTAAAATACCCAGTCCGGCACGAGACTGATCCAATGGAGGGATTTTCACATTTGGATCTAAAAGCTCCATGTCAAAGTAGGAAAGCAACAAAGACAGGAACTGCTTGATTTCATGAACAGCAAAAAACCTTCCAGGACATTTTGTCACTCCAGATCCAAAGGGCATGTAATAATATCTTAGTTTGCGACCATTTCTGCAAAAGGATGTTTTCTCTTGTCCATTTTCATCCAGGTATCTGTCATATTTAAATGTCTGTGGATAAACAAATAAAAAAAACAATATTATAGTGTGATTAAATAATCCATAAACAGTGTTTAGGTTAAGTAAAAGGTACAGCTAATGTAAGTAAAAAGTAAATATTCATGAATGTTTCATATACAGTAGACTGAAATATGAAGCTAAAAAACACTGCCATAACGCCTTGATAAACACTACACAACACAATGAAAAGAAATGCATAAAAACCATGTAGCAAAATAAAATGTCACATGAACATATTAGGACCAGTGTTACTGAACTGCATCTGCAGAACATTTTGTCATCTCTCAAGTCCTCCCTGGCAATGACCATCCCTTCAACCTGACCTCTCCATCTGGAGTTTAGCTTTCAGCTGAAACTATATTATTAGATGAGGCAGATAGTGTAAACCAAAACTTTTTTCTCTTTAACCTCTCTCTCATACAAATAAAAGAAAACACACAAACTTCCAAGGTGTGATGATGTTTTTTTAGCCTCATTCAATAAAAGTTTGCTTCTACAACAATTCAGTGCAATTGATCTATTGGCAAAACAAATTTCAGATTAGTGGTGCAGTACTGTAAGCCTTATCTATGCAAATATTTAGAGCAAACATTTTGAACCAACCAGAGGATCTTCATAAATTTCTGGATCAAAGTGCAGTAGCTGTGGATAAAGGGCTATCACATCATCTTTCCGGATGCTGTAGGATTCATTGTTATCCAAGTGCAGCAGAAAGTTGTTTTTGGCAATTCTGACATTGAGGGATGCACTGGATAGCCTCATTGATTCTTTGATGATGCTGTCTATAAAAACAATATCATGAATAACGGAAGAGATCAGGTTAATCTAACATTTAACATTTTGTAGTCTCACATTTTACTGTAAACTACAGTGGGTTAAAATACACATTTTAATTAAGCTGGACGTACCCAATACAGGCATGTTATCTAGTTGTGTCCTGTTTAAACATATATGGGTGCCATCCACGCTTGCTCTCTGGCCAGAATCCTCCAGTATCCTCTTCACTTCATCACTTGCAGCTTTCATTGCTTTAGGACACCTGTGAAGGAGAGGAAGATTAAACTGTAGGTAGCATTGAGTCTATGCAAGTTAGGCATCTTGAAAGTCTAGTTACCTCTTCATATAACCAGCAATGTTTTCTTCTATACTGTATTAGAAATTCTATCCATCATTCACAAGTTTTTACATTATTCATTATTTTTTTGCTAACATAATTGCAGACTGTTAAATATGGGTGAGACACTATTGCAAAATAAAATAAATATATTTGTCAAAGTTCAAATCTACACTACTGTATGTATCTACTTAGCACTTGCTTATTCTGGTCTACTTTAGATTCGCCAGTTTGAAAAACTACGTACCTGATGAGATAGAACAGAGTCCAGAAAGTGGCTGGCAATGTGTTGGCTTGTGATGCCCACAGCAGGGCTACATGGGTTCGGGCTTTACTCATATCATTGAAGGTGGACAAGGTGTCATTCAGAATCATTCTGAGAGAAATTAAATCAGACATATTCGTCCTTTTGCTGAGGTTTTCATGAAGGAGGGTCTTCGCCAGGTTCTCTCTTGCACTGTGAGCGCTCTTGAAAACATGGATGGGCAGACCGGCAACAAGAGCTGGGAAGATCTTGTCAAACTCTTTGAAATTTTCAAGGGCGTTCAGTACCAGTGCCTTCTGAGCCTCCTGTCGGGCAAGGTTCTTGTCTTCTTGAGGATTGAGCTCTTTGCCAAACAGCGTCAAATAGCCAGCCTCAAACATCACCTTGTAGCAGAAGGCAAAGATCCCGTCTGTGACCCAGTCGTTTGAGTTCATTTTCAGTGTGCTTGACTGCAGCATGACACACTGGAGGTTTTCCATCATGTTCTCAACCAGAGATTGCAAAGCATCCCCCTGCAGTGTCTTGATAAACGTCTGGTGCAAGTTTTCTGTGGTAAAGCCATCGTTTGGATCCATGCTTTCATGCCCAAAAGCCTGGAAAAAATAAATGTTAATGTGATCAAAATCCTGATTCTTTATATTTTCATTTTATTAAGTTGCACTGAGACTTGACTCAGAGAAATTGACTTCATAAAAGAAATGGGAGATATGAGATTTTTCTACCTACTGTATCTGGCTTTTACAAAATTAAACAGAATTTATTATTGACATTTTGTATTTGTTACATGTTAAAAGATGCAAGTTATTCTGAAACTATTCTGAAATACTCAGTTATCTAGTTTATTTTAAAGTCCTTTTTGTGCATGATTAGATGCATTCTAACACTGTCAATGTGTCTGTTCTTGTAATAAATGGTATTCCCTTCTCTTAAAAAGCCTTTTTACCTATTTTATTTTATGCAGTGCTTATTTACGACAATAACCTGATGATTAAAAACAATCTCTGTTAAGGTACATTAAAAGTATCAATCTGTTACCTTGGCAGAGGCAGCAAAGTGAAATTTCTTCCAGTCCAGATGCCTACCCTGGCGGATCACAGCGTGGTATGAGAAAGGGTCTGTGAGGAAATGAACATATTGGCCTGCGATTTTGCATGTGAAGATGTGCCCATACTTCTTCTGTCGGCTCCGAAGGAACTCGAGTGGGTTGGCACCAAACTGGAGGGCACAGCCAAGGTAGGGAATGAGACCACTCTCTACCGGGGGCTCTCCTGGACGCCTGAAAAATTAAACAGATTTAATTGAAACACCCTGTCACTCTCTGCCCATGTTTTCCCTGCTGGGCTGTTCCTTAAAGGAAACCGAAAGAATGGGAGAATTCCTAAAGGTTTTGAAAACAGCATGTTTATCACAATGAAGGGATGGGTTTGATATGTTTAAATGTTGTATTTTTTTTCTCACACCCACAGTTTTAACAAATTAAAAATGTATCACAGAATAAAAGAGCCACATGCAGTCCAAAAAAGAGAAATGCTGAATTGTGCTGATGGCAAATATGTTGTTTCAAAACTCTGGTTTTGTGCTGAAGGTACTGTATGAACTTAAAAAACACTACACATAGTCTGTGGTGAATCTCTAAGATGTATTTTTTGTCATTAGGTGCACTCAAAAATCAATAAAACAAAGTAAAATATTATTTCAACATACTTCAAAGCAATTTTGAGCATTGAGTATAAGACACTACAGAATATTGGTGATGTAAGTATAGCACAATAGTGCAAAACCCTGATGCATTAAAAAGCCAGTAGTGTATTTACCTTCTGCGGATCCCCAGAATCAGCCACAAGCAGCAACAAAGCCAAACTACAACTCCCCAGATCAAGGCTATGCTTAGAATCATTGTTAGTGTGGAATATGAGAGGCAGGGCTGGAAGAGAGATTCTAAAAGATGCACAAGCCTTTTATGACTTGTGGTGCCTCACTTTATACAGTACTACATCCTAAGCCACGACTACTCCAGTGAGAAAATGAATGATTAACGTATCTGATGATGACCTATCCCCTTACATGTTAAAGTGTCAAATGCTTCTAGAAAATCAGGGAATGTACAATGGCATATTGTCCTTGAACTAGGTCCATGGACACTAACACCAAAGACATAGAGAGCCGTATAGATAATTTATCTCAGCTGGTAAACAATCTCAAGGTCTTGACGGGTGTAGTTTCAGCTCAGGTATAAAAGAGTACCTAAATGTAGATATAGTTTTTTCTTAAAACATTTAAGTAACCTGCCTAATATGTCTGTAGAAATCTTCAGTAAAAAAAAAAATTCAAAGTCTGATTTGTGAGAATCCATGTGAAAAAAATAAATCGATGTACAAAACCATTTTCATTTTTTTTACAGTAAAACAACAGTGTACTTTACTGGCACTTAGAGTGTTCTGGAAATCTATTGTACCTCTGTCACCTTGTCACCAATATGTCCATATTTTGTTGTTCTCTGAATTTCCCATCAGAACACTTTGACATTGTACTATACAAAGAAAATTAGAAGATTCTCCTTTGTATAGTACTGTATTTAACAGCTTTGCTGTCACCTGTAAATCGGTTGCTTGTTTGAAAGATTAACAGTATTTACAGGCTTACAGATTTTATGTCATGCAATTAGTGTAATCCTCTTTGTGTGTCATCATAACAGTTTACCTTCAGAGTAATGCATCTGTCTCGATAAGTTCCCTCAATTATTTAATTTATTTGAATTTCAAGCCACAGTTCAAACAGTTATTGTATACAACAAACCAACCGAAAAGGCCAAGGAGATTTTGAATCAAGTCAGGTATAAAGTAGTGAAGAACCAGGAAAAAGTTGCAAAAAAAAATTTAAAGTCACTCATTTTCCATATGAGATGTCTGACACACATCATTAAGAAGAGGAATGTCTGACACTACCTACATTAAGCCGTCCTTCCAAACTGAGCACCCGGGCAAGCTGAAAAACTATGCAAGACGCCACTGTGAAGACAACGGTGACTTTGAATGATTTGCAACGTTTCGTGACTGAGATTGGAGTCAATGTTGATACTGTACGTCAAGCACAATTGTAGCAGCATCATATGAGAGCAAATCCAGGAGTTGGTGGCTCACAAACCTGCTGGTTTTCATTCCATCCCACCTTAATGTCAATGAATGGTTTGACAGAAGGCTCGGTTGGAACAAAAACCAACAGGTGTGTGGGTCACCAGGACTGGAACCACTGAGGGATGATTTGCACCAGCAGGGATGGAGAAGCTTGTCATGGTAGGAAGTATAGGAGCATCCTAAAGGAAAACATGCTTAAATCTTAAAGTGTTAAGTCTTAATAATTATGCATTTTGGCAGGAAAATGATCCAAAGCTCCATTAATTTACAGTTCTATTGGGAGTGGTCTGACAAGACGAGAACAACAATTAATTTCACTAGGCAGCCCAATCAAAGTCCTGACTTTGCAGAAGATAGAGGCAGATTTGGAGGGATTTTGCCAGAAAGAATGGACAACAATCGGATGTTTTGTGAATTTTTGGATTATAGCACTGGATAGTTATGGTTTAACACACTTGGTTAATGGGCATCCTCCTGGGCACAAGATAAGGAGACTCAAACCCAAATCAGAGAGGAGTTAACCAAGGGGCAGCTGCAAGGTAGTAATGGCGTGAAGGAGGGATGCTTGAGAAAAATGTGAAGGAAGACGTTTGTTTAATATATCTAGAAATGCGTGAGATTAACTTGTTGTTGTCCCTCCCAAACTTCAGTTAATTACTAATATTTATAATTAATGAACATGCGGTAGTTTAAGAAGAAGATGGAAACATTTTGTAAGGCTTTGTGCATAATATTAATAGTGAGGAAATAGGTTTATTGATTGTGTTGTTTTTGTGCAGGCCATGTCCTAGAAGGCAAAGGGTTACTACTCTTCTCAGGAATGTCACATCCATTTGATTCATCTATAATTGTTTTCAGATGACTTTGGCTACAGCATAAAGAATTCCAGGAAGATATAATACAAGCATCAGCAGAATATTCGTAGTGCACTGTCTGCATAAATATATATATATACATTACATATCTGGAGGCAGTTCATAGCTCATATTTTAATACCCGAGAGAGGAAAACTCTCTTCTCTGGGCCAGAAAGCATTTAAGGTGGCAGAGGAAAGTTGAATATGGTGGAGTGTTTCATTAACCAAACCATGTTTTAAGACTTTTAACAAATGCAGTTGAAAACAGTGTATGTGGAGGCATTATAGTAAGCATTATGATGACTTTTGCTGTAATGTAGTTTATAACAGTAAGAGACACCTGAATTGCCCTTGTACAGTAGTTACGTTTCTGGTCTGTAGTCTGCCGGTACAAAATGGATGCCGAATGGGACCCAGCTGCATATTACACCTCATTTGTGGATGAAGTGAGTTCTTGTCTGGGTTTAAAGTTCATTGTTTGGTCCTTCTAAATAGACAAATGTAAAAAAATATATATAATTAGTTCCTGTATTTAGAGTAAATGCATAGATGAAGTGAAAGGAGTTGCTGGCACAAGAATCACAGCTACTGTAAATATCCAGCTGCATTTAATTATACACATACTGTATAGTCAGTTCTAATAGCTGGGGTTTGGCTTTAGGAAAGGATTATACAGTAGCTGAAATGCTTAAATATAAATTAAATTTGACATAACGTATGCAGTATACATAATCTCCACTTTACTTTTATTCTGAAATATTTTTTTATTTTATAAAATAGTTTTTCCACAAATAATTTACTTGAAATTGATACAAAAAGTAGTCTTGGGTTTCTACTCACCTTCATTAGCATCACTTTAATGGATCTTGTTTACGTGTTTCATTTCAGTGCACTTTGAATTCAGACTAATGTAACCTAAGTATTTGAATTACGAGAGGTCACTTCTGGATAAGTGTTCAATTGTAGGTTGTTCACCCTTTCAAGCTCCTACATTTGTTCCAGTTCTACTTTTGTTTTATGGATATATACTGTAAATCGATTTGTTTTTATTTATGGTTATTCTGCAGGAAAAAAAAAACAAAATAATCTTCTTAATTTCCATGTGTCATAAACATTTTGTTGTTTTGCCTTTTTGCTTGACAATGCCTCATTTCCTGGTCATAAGTCACCTCTTTTCTTTATAAATGAATTTTTCCAAAATTAATCAAATGGATTTCTGGAACCTACTGTATTTGTGTAATGTTATGATGATAGTTCAGTTGTAAGGTGTCATACGCTTAATTAGTTTGCTTTCATGGGGTAAGCATTATAACGCACTTATCACTCTTTCAGGCTGAAGTTGCCTGTAATTTCTTTGCTGAACAGTTTGCTCAGGATGTCAAGAAAGTAACCAAATCAGAATCATTATAAGTAAAAAAAATACAGTCAATTTTTCTTGAGTGGTTAAAATCAATTTAACTCCTTTTCTGGTGAAATGCAGTCATTAATTCTTGTTAATATCCCTCTGCAGAGTATATTAAAATCATTAATCTGTCAGCCAACCTTAGACTTCTTCTCCAATGTAGGTGTTCTGAAACAGCGGCCATTTGTTGTCTCACTGCTGCCCCAAAGTTTTTTATCTTTTTGCTAATTTTGGCAATACAGTGTCACAGTGCTTAGCATTGCTGCCTTGTAGTACCTGGCCCCCAGCTCGATTCCTAGGGTGCTATCTGCATAGAGTTTGTATGTTTACCAGTGTTCACATTGTGTTTCCTCCAAGTTCTCCAGTTTCCTCCCACAAAGACTTACTCATTGGCTTCTGGGTAAACTGGCTCTAAAGTGAGTGTGTGCATGTGTGTATCTGTGTGAGATGGATTGTTGTGGATGGATTCAACCATCCAGGTTGAATCCTGCCTTGAGCCTGTTGCTTGCTGGTATAGCAACCTTATCCTGTACAACTGGACAATGTGGTTAGAAAATGGATGGATGGATAAGCTGCAAATCTTTTTACACAAGTCTCTACCAACCTTTTGACTTAATGCAACTTTGGGATCCAAAGCCCTTCATAGTAAGAGGACTAAGAAATGCCCTCGGACTGTTCAACTATTCTCAGCACCTTATACCAGATGATACCAAGAAGCCCCAGCCATTGTATCACCGGAGTTAAAGCTTGTAACTGTAGTTATCAATTGAATAGAGGAGGGAGAAGACTTGTTCATTGAACTCTAAGAGAGAGTGCCCAGTGCTCCAGCACTGGGTCTTCCTGACCAAGGTCTTCCATTTCATCTATGTTACAAAGTAAGGCCAAGATGTTCAGCTGCTGCTGATTGTGCTGCATGGGCTGTCATTACTGTTGAAGACCTGGTGGATGACAGAAGGTGGTGTTACACACCAATCACCAATTGCTGTGCCAACTGATTTACACCAGCCTGAGAACCATAACTGATGCAATATGGGTGAGATGGGAAGCTACTCTCTTGGGAAAAGGATTAGAAGTAAAAGTAGTTAAAGACCCCAGTATCAATGCAACCAATCTAATGATGGAAGAGGAGAAACCTATGCAGATGGAAGAAGAGGTTCACAGCATCTTCAGGTGTGTACCATGCCAGATGCCAAACTGAATTTATGGATCGATGAGGGGAAGTGACTAACTGGATGGGTTGTGGCTTCTAAAGATGAGACGCTACAAGTCTCAGGAAGCTTTGGATTCAGGGCGGCACAGTGAGCTGAACTGCAGGCCCAAATGACTAAACTCCAAATGTCCAGCTGAAAGAAGGCAAACATCTACAGTACATCAACAGCTGCTATGCCTTTGGAGTAGTTCATTATTACTTGCTTGTTTGGAACAAGAGGGTTCTCCTTACCGCCTATGGCACCGAAATCCAGCACTGAGACCTAATACAAGACCTCCTACAGGCTGTTCACTTACCCAGTGAAGCAACAGTTGTTAAAGACAAGTCTCACCAGAAAGACAATAATAAGGAAAACTGGGGAAACAG